ATTAAGGCCAAGGTCAAGGTCATCAAAAAGGTCAAAAACACATTTTCATCGATAACTTCACTTCTATTCAAGCTAAAGACTTCAAACTAACACCACTCTGTTCATCAAGTCAATGTGGTCCTAGCAGTTTTGGGTCGCAATGATGTCAATGACGTATGTGGATGGAATTCAGCAAATCATCGTTCTAAGAACAATCTTTCTTTTTTCTTTTTCTAAAACACTGCAAAAGCTCATTTCTGGTGACTTTTGTGGACCATTACATGAACAAAGTTTGCACTTACACTTTAAACTAAAGAGGCCTGCACCTCATCACAGATAAAGTAATTCATATTGCACGCATTATCAAATTAAATCCGTGAAGACAAGTGCATCATAAGGGTGCATTCAGGGATTTTAGGATTTTAGCTGTTCTTGCAAACTCTCGCTTGACTAGCCACAAAAAAAAAAAAAAAAAAAGACGCCCATGCCAATTTTAATACCTGATTTTTACATGTGAGGTAATATTAGCTAATTTGCTAATGTCAACAAACTAAAGCCCAGTCACAGAGACTGACCAGCTAGCTTGGTTAACTCTACTTCATCCATTTCTTTCCTTAAAGCTTCTCTTCTGCAGTCTTCAGTAACTTCACCTGTTTTAAAGTGTATGTCATTTTTCGCTTCGGCAGAATCAGTGGTTCTGTACCATTCGCTATCAATGCAGTCAGTGCTAGGTTCTAGATGTATTTATATCTGCCCACTGTGAACACGCAAAGTGACTGAAAAGAACAAAAGCCTATTTCCCGGCTGAGCCCTTTAATGATTGGTTAACATATTCTGACAAAATGGCAGCGAGAGAAAATTTTATACCTGAGCTTACAGGACCCAGAGGGCACGTGGATACTAGTAGTATGCATTAGACAATCAATTTATATGATGACTGGCAGGGTATAGAGTCGGCGAGCATCAAAATATAATAATAATAATACAAATAATAATAAAACATTTTGTTGAATGCGCCTTTGAGTGGATTTATAAACAGTTCTTACATACATGAAATACCTTTGGCAACACTGACAGCCCCTTAGAAATGAGTCAGAAGCTGTTATGCTGATCAAAATCTCAATTTTGAAAAACATTTGAATAAGAAATGTTTCCAGAATAATCATTAATCATATACAACCTCAATTCCAAAATAGTTGGGACAAAGTGTAAATTGTGAATAAAATCAAAACACGATGACTTTCAAATCACACCAGTCAGTATTTTATTCACAATAGAACAGAGATAACATAGCAAATGTTGAAACTGAGAAATTTTACAATTTTATGCACAAAATGAGCTCATGTCAAATTTGATGGCTGCAACACATCTCAAAAAAGTTGGGACAGGGGCCTGTTTACCATGGTGTAGCATCCCCTCTTCTTTTTAACACAGAGTGAAGGCGTCTGGACATTGAGGAGACAAGTTTCTTGAGTTTAGCCTTTGGAATTTGATCCCACTCTTGTTTACTACAGGCTTTCAGCTGCTGGAGAGTTTTGGGTCTCCTTTGACGGACTTCTCGTTTAATTATGCGCCAAATGCTCTTAATCAGTGAAAGATCAGGACTGCAGGCAGGCCAGTTCAGCACACGAACTCTTCTACTATGAAGCCATGCTGTTGTAATAGCTGCAGTATGTGGTTTTGCATTGTCCTGCTGAAATACACAAGGCCTTCCCTGGAATAGATGTCGTCTGGAGGGAAGCATATGTTGCTCTAAAACCTTTATATACCTTTCCACATTCATGGTGCTTTTTAAAACATGCAAGTGTCCCACATCATAGGCACTAATGCATCCCCATACCATCAGAGATACTGGCTTTTGAACTGAACACTGATAACAGGAGGGGTGGTCTTTCTCCTCTTTTGCCCAGAGGACACGACGCCCATGATTTCCAACAAGAATGTCAAATTTGGACTCGTCTGACCACTGGACACTTTGCCACTTTGCTACAGTCTATTTTAAATGAGACTTGGCTCACAGAACGTGGTGGCGCTTCTGGATCATACTCAACAATTGCTTCCTTTTTGCATGATAGAGTTTTAGGTGGCATCTGTGGATGGCACGGCGGACTGTGTTTACAGACAGTGGTTTCTTGAAGTATTCCTGGGCCTATTTAGTGATGTCAATGACAGAGTCATGCCGGTGAGCGATGCAGTGGCGTCAGAGGGCCCGAAGATCACAGGCATCCGGTAAAGGTCTTCGGCCTTGTCCCTTACGCACAGAGATTTTTCCAGTTTCTCTTAATCTTTTGAAGATGTTATGCACTGTCGATGATGAGACCTTCAAAGCCTTTGCAATTTGACATTGAAGAAAATAGTTTTTAAAGTATTCCATAATTTTTTTTACACAAGCCTTCACAGGTTGGAGAACCTCTGGCCATCTTTACTTCTGAGAGACTCAGCCTCTCTAAGACATCCCTTTTACAGCCAATCATGTTACACACCTGATGCCAGTTAACTTAATTACTCGCTAAATGTTCTTTCAGCTGATTCTGTTATATATTAATTGCTTTTTCAGCCATTTTTTGTCTGTGTCCCAACTTTTTTGAGACCTGTTACACCCAGATAATTTGAAATAAGCTCATTTTGTGGATAAAAATGTAGAATGTCTCAGTTTCAACATTTGAAATGTTATCTGTGTTCTATTGTAAAAAACATATTGGCTCATGTGATCTGAAAGTCATTGCATTTTGATTTTATTCACAATTTACACTTCGTCCCAACTATTTCGGAATTGGGGTTGTAGAATAATCACATGAATGCTCAGTTGCATATCTGTAGGGCATCACCAAGGCTCTCTGGACTGCTAACATCAATTTCAAAAAAGAAAAAACTGATCATGGAAGAGAAGCGAGATTAGGAAGTTAATAGTTTCATTATGCATCATCATTTTGCATTCCCTCCCGTGTGAAAGAGCTGACATGGCCAGCAGAAAAAACAACTTTGGAAGAGGTTCCCAGGTCGCCCCTCGTGCCTCTCACATGCTTGATGTAAAGTGCAATTAACAGGGCCTCCTCTTTGATTCAGCCTAATATCAGGTTTTTGTTCACTGTCAGCTTTATTTTATAACTTCTACTCATGACTAAAGAGTTTAACAAAGTTGACCATTTTTTTCAACCACATTCTTGCCCAAATGCAAGCAAACTAGCAAGCTAGCCAGTTAAATGCAAGCAAACTAGCAAATTTATCCATAGATTCTTTTCCTCTGGCAGAATTTTGCGGTCATATGCGATAAAATGTTTCGGATGCCATGTTCTATTTTAAGGAGGCTCAAAGCCAGAATTTCTGTGGAGGTAAGAATCTGAAATAACTCCAGCCAATTGGCACATTGTTAGAGTCTTGGTCTTCTATATTCACAGCTTTGCTTCCTGATTGACAGTCATAAAAATTTAAGCTACATTCAAAACAGCAACAAGAAAGTTGAAAATGAAGATATCTCTTGCTTTGTTTATCTAGGACACAAATTATGGCAAAAACCTTCAAGCCTTCCTGCATTTCCATGACCCTCTGTCCCCATAATCCCTTTACATCCATCCATCCATCCATCATCTAAACCAATTTTTTTGGGCTGTGGGACAAAACTGGAGTATCCGGAGGAAACCCACGCAAACACTGGAAGAGCGTGCAATCCCCACACAGAAAGGCCTCAGGTCAGGCTCAAATGCATGACTTTCTTAATCCCTTTACTGGTTTTGCATATTTATTTCCAGTTATACAGGAGAGGTAGAGGAAGAGTCCTTTGGTTAAGCATACTCACAATAAGAATGTACTGTATATATTAAAGGTACAATGCACCACTATCTCCAAGAAGCACTTCTTGAATCTGTAATTTACCCATGGAGGCTGGATAGTAAATCCCCACGATTGTGCGTTTCACAGAAATTTACTCCCCGGCGTGTTCCTGCGATCTGTTTGCAAATCTCCTCTTCGACTAGAACAGACGAGGCTGCTGCAAGCGAGAATTAGAGCAGAAAATAAACGTCTTTCTTTCCCCGAGTTACACAGCCTTTGCAGCAGGGCTGTTATAGCCGTAAACATCCAGTGTGCAAATGGGGAAAAAAATGGAAAAAGTTTGCCCGCTGGGAACGTAAATTCAGTTTTGGAACAATGCGTAAAGCATTATAGTTGGACCCTCATGGCACTTGAGCTAGCCAGGAGCCAGTATGCGGGGTTTTTACTCAACTCAGGCACCCAGTCTCCATCCACTTCTCCCCACTCCCCGCCCAGGAGAACATTCTAGAAGCAAAATCCAAAAATTGAATGCCCACAATCTGGGGTGAGAGTCATCAACAACAGCATGCAACAAAACCCAAAGACCAATTATCAATGCGTGTGGGTGAAGCAAAAAATTTATTTAACAATAAATCGAATGCTGATTATTTTATGCACCTAATGCTTTGGGGTCCAGTTGGAAATATAATAGGCAGTATTCTTGATTTCTGCGGGCCTTTACTGCCAAGTCTTGTGAAAATAAATGAAAATTAAAGTCATTATGGAAGCTAAAGGGAGGTGGGGGTGGTTATCGGTAATCTTTACATCAGAAAAGCTCATTATTATTCCAAGATTTGCTATTTTGAGTCATTTCCAACTTCAAAGTGGTGTTCCAGCCAGATAAGGAGCAGAGGAGTGCCCTGGGTGGGCTATTTAAATCTTATCATCAATCAAAACCAGAAAACAATTTGCTTCTTGTCGATGCAGGAAGACAGCTCTGTTGCTCCGAGGTCTCTGATGGACATGATTTGTGAAATGCGATGAAAGACACCAGGAGACTTTACCTTGAGGAATAGAGGCAGAATGGGAGGCATGGTGCTGCGGAGGATAGCATTGTCCCCTCACAGCAAGAAGGTCTCAGGTTTGAATGTCAGCCGAGGCCTTTCATTGTGGAGTTCGCATGTTCTACCTTGCGTCTCCATGGTTACTCTGGTTTCCGCTCGCAGTCCAAAGAGATGCAGGTTATGTTCGCTGGAGAAACTAAATCGGGCGGCACAGTGGCGCAGTGGGTAGCGCAGTCACCTCGCAGTATGAATGTTGTGGGTTTGAATCCAGCCTGGGACCTTTCTGTGGGTGTTGCCATGTTCTCCCCGTGTTCATGTGAGTTTTCCCCAGGTACTCTGGTTTCTACCCACAATCCAAAGACAAGCATGTTAGGCTGATTGGAGACTCTAAACTGCTCTTAGATATGGGTAGCTGGGGGAGTAGTATGTGAATTGATTATGAAGAATATGATGGATGACATGCAAAATAATGAGCTTGAAAGCATTGATAAAAAATAAATAAATCAATGCATCAATGGTGAATGCTGCATAGACCCTGCAATAGGCAGATATATTCCCTTCTCTCACCTATTGCATTCTGGGATAGCTTGCAGCCCCCTGGCCTGGGGTCACAGGGCTCAATAATGAATGGACAAAATACTGCAAATGGAAAATCACTCCCGGTACCCTCCACCTACCTTATACCTGTGTCTCTGCAAAGTTTCTAGATGATTCCAGGACATTTGTAAATGTTTGTGTGAATAAAACACATCAATGAATGTAAAGGAAAAGTCACTCTAATCACAAGAGCGCAGTTACGATGTGGGCACAGTAGTGTTTCAAGCTTGCAGAGAACAGATTGTATTTATTCATGCAATTCATGAAAGGTATTCATGAGTCATTACTCATCGCAACAGTCATTAAAACAAATGACATCTTGTGGTTCACCTTACCCCGCTTTCCATTTCCTGCAATATTGCTCAAACATTTTGGCAATTTAAGGAAAAGGGAGAGAACTAAATGAATATGCCAGCAAGCATCTCGGAGCCTGCTGCGAAAGATAATGCTATCTACATCCACAATCATTATCCATTACCAACTCAGTGAGTACGGACTTACTTCAAAACTCATGCTGGGTTTCCCAGGCAAGGTACTTTTACTGAAAGGAAAATGAAAATGCAACAAAGATTCAAAATAAAAGCTTGGGATGGTGTTCACAAAACCATCAGCAGGCACAGATGTTTATCCTCATGGACGCCATCTTTATCCAAGAGCATATTTTAAATGTGTAAAACTTATTGCTAGTTGGTGAGTTTAAATGGTAATATCGTTGGATTTGATCATTTAAGCAAGTGGTTTTCTTTAGGTATTTGTTTTAATCCCATCCAACAATATAGCTATTGATTTTTTTTATTTTTCATGTTAGGGTAAAAACCTAGGCAAATGTAGTGTATCTCCCGGAACAGGATTGGGAACAAATGAAATGAGTAAAGTGAAGGACTTTTTGTTTTGGAAAGCTGCATGTGGCTAATTGAACGTCTATGTTAACATGCCAACAAGGCTATCTTCTGTGGAATTATACCAAATATACAAAATTACATGAATGTGAAAGGCCACCAGAACAAAAAGGCCATCATACATGCAGCATAACAAAGTGATATATACTTGGGTTATATAAAAAAAATATTTCTATTCCTACGTTTTGTAGTGGACAGCCATGTGGTCAGGGTTGGAGCAGAACTAACTTGTAACTGGCTAGTGGCAATAGAACTAAAGCAATAATAGCCCTCGTCAGGTGAGCTTCCTCTGTATTCCGCCAAAGGCCAGCTAACTGAGTGTACGAGTTCTGCAGCAGCCCAAACATAAGCCAGGAGAGAAAAGGCCCTGGATGCTCTTGCTCTGTGATACCAATCAAAACCACGATTCTTTACTCCTAGGAAACACATTTCTCATCAATTTAAACTGCTTTCCACAATGGATCAGTTTTATTTAAAAACTGATCATTTTGCTATTTTCCTACAACATTGCTCTAGATAACGAGTAAACATGCATATCCTGCCTAACTTCCCTTTCTGCAAGAATCTGCGCAAGGAGGTATTTCATGGAATCACTGAGGGAGAGAAGAAAGGATGCATCAACAGGATGCCTATGCAAAGCCTCCACAGACTCTCTGTGCTCAGCAGCTGTTGGACTAATCCAAATACCCAGGCAGAAGCTAGAGATAATTTGTATTTACAATTTTTTGCCATGGAATACTCATTGCAAAATTATTGAATGGATCAATTGTGATTTATATTGAGTTTGGAGTTACATTAAAGGATATTGCCTTGATAATAATTCAAGCCATGCCCAGCTAGTCTCATAGACCTACGTACTCTATTACTTAAACACTATAGTCTACCTGTGCATGGTCTATGCACCATTAAAGGATCCATTACCTGGTATTTACACCCGTTAAAAATAAGTGATTTGGGTCTAAAACATAACGTTTTGCGATAATTTGCAAAAATTACGCAACATTAACATTTATTTTGCACTTTTTATCAAGCCAATCTTGCTCTCGCGAGAAAATTTTGAGATTTTGACTCGGCCGGAAGATACAGGCATGGCTGGGCGGAGGGGGTGGTGCGAGGGAAGAGGGTGGGAGGAGGGAGGAGTGGCTTGAAAGCACAGCCATAGCAGCGCGTGCATAGTAACACAACGTGTGACCTCACCATGGCTGAATCCATCGACCATTCTGGGTGGCTTTGATGTGCTCCTGCCATCTGAGTGCGATGCACTGGGCCCAGCGTGAGATGTACTAGCGAAATAGCCTAAAAACGGGGAATATAAATGTCACATGCAAGCTAACATTAGTACATCTAAGTTCCATTATCATATAATCAAGAGTAACACGCTGCGTTTGGGCAGCATAAAAAGACAATAATATACAGCCATCCATCAACAAATTAACAATGTGCAAGGTTAATACTGGCCTAAATGAACTGAGCTAGCTAACGTTAGCTTTTTGCTAGCAGAAATTTAGTGTATGTTTGAAGCGTTGTTTCGCCTGCTTAACAACATCATAGCTGAAAGTGAGCCCACTACAGCTATGGAAATACGGCATGTCAGGCGAGCCCTCGGGCTGTGAGGGAAACGTTTACGTATTGGGTACAACCTAGTGTTAGTACATCTAAGTTCCATAATCATACAACACCAATTCCAAAATAGTTGGGACGAAGTGTAAATTGTGAATAAAATCAAAATGCAATGACTTTCAGATCACATGAGCCAATATGTTATTAACAATAGAACATAGATAACATTTCAAATGTTGAAACTGAGACATTTTACATTTTTATCCACAAAATGAGCTTATTTCAAATTTTCTGGCTGCAACAGGTCTCAAAAAAGTTGGGACACAGGCAAAAAAAGGGCTGAGAAAGCAATTAATATATAAGAGAATCAGATGAAAGAACACTAGCAAGTAATTAAGTTAACTGGCATCAGGTGTGTAACATGATTGGCTATAAAAGGGATGTCTTAGAGAGGCTGGGTCTCTCAGAAGTAAAGATGGCCAGAGGCTCTCCAACCTGTGAAGGCTTGCGTAAAAAAATTGTGGAATACTTTAAAAACAATGTTCCTCAACGTCGAATTGCAAAGGCTTTGAAGGTCTCATCATCATTGACAGTGCATTACATCATCAAAAAATTCAGCATGAATTCTGTCATTGACATCACTAAATAGGCCCAGGAATACTTCAAGAAACCACTGTCTGCAAACACAGTCTGCCTTGCCATCCACAGATGCCACCTAAAACTCTATCATGCAAAAAGGAAGCCATTGTTGAACATGATCCAGAAGCTCCGCCATGTTCTGTGAGCCAAGGCTCATTTAAAATGGACTGTAGCAAAGTGGCAAAGCGTCCTGTGGTCAGACGAGTCCAAATTTGACATTCTTGTTGGAAATCATGGGCGTTGTGTCCTCCGGGCTAAAGAGGAGAAAGACCACCCCTCCTGTTATCAGCATTCAGTTCAAAAGCCAGCATCTCTGATGGTATGGGGATGCATTATTGCATATGGTGTGGGACACTTGCATGTTTTAAAAAGCACCATGAATGCTGAAAGTTATATAAAGGTTTTAGAGCAACTTATGTTCCCCTCCAGACAACATCTATTCCAGGGAAGGCCTTGTGTATTTCAGCAGGACAATGCAAAACCACATACTGCAGCTATTAAAACAGCATGGCTTCATAGTAGAAGAATCCGTGTGCTGAACTGGCCTGCCTGCAGTCCTGATTTTTCACCGATTGAGAATATTTGGCACATAATTCAACGAGAAGTCCGTCAAAGGAGACCCAAAACTCTCCAGCAGCTGAAAGCCTGTATTAAACAAGAGTGGGATCAAATTCCAATGGCTAACCTCAAGAAACTTGTCTCCTCAATGCCCAGACGCCTCCACTCTGTGTTAAAAAGAAGAGGGGATGCTACACCATGGTAAACAGGCCCATGTCCCAACTTTTTTGAGATGTGTAGCAGCCATCAAATTTGAAATGAGCTCATTTTGTGGATAAAATTGGAAAACTTATCAGTTTCAACATTTGCTATGTTACCTCTGTTCTATTGTGAATAAAATACTGGCTGGTGTGATTTGAAAGTCATAGCGTTTTGATTTCATTCATAATTTGCACTTTGACCCAACTATTTTGGAATTGGGGTTGTATAATCAAGAGTAACACACTGCGTTTGGACAGCATGAAAAGACAAAAATATAGCTTCAGCAACCCATCAACAAATTTACAGAATGTGCAAGGTTAATGCTGGCCTAAATTAACTTGGCTAGCTAACGTTAGCTTTTTTGCTAGCGGAAATTTAGCATATGTTTGGGGCATTATTTTGCCTGCTTACCGACATCATAGCACAGCGTTTCTGACATCTATAGATTCCTTAGGTTGTCTAGTTTCATATGATGTGTGTATCTTCACTGTAGCTGAAAGTGAGCCCGCTACAGCTATGGAAATACGGCAGTGGCGGGCCGTGCATTTTACACCTAGGCCTTCAGTAAGCCTCCCGCAATTAGCCTAAATTTAACCGCGGCAACAGCATGACGTCATAACGTAACCCCCCCCCAAATTCCCAGTGACAGCATTCACACATAAAGCACTTTGCCATACTGCATTAATCAATCACTGCCTTTACCAAGAAACAAGAAAAAACTCACAGCAACCAATCACATCCAAGTAGACTACCTAGGAAAGACTACTGGGACACTAGCAAAGCTGCTGCGCATAAACACACACGTGCCTCAATGTGCAAGGGTACA